AAGAAATCTAACACCTGCCCATAAAGCTTTGCAAACCTCTTTGATCAATTAACACTTCTGGCACGACCTTTCGCTCTCCTTCAGCCACAAATGTAGAGAACCAAACTCAACAGCTGACCACCTGGTAAGAGAAAGGGTGAACCGACCTTCACTCCTAGTTATGCTGCAGCCGTCATCCCCCATCCCCTAATCTGCCAATTTTTCAATCTCATTCCTCCACAATTTTGTACCATTACTTTGCACGAAGTATCCTACACTTTTTGTCTAAAATACCTCATAGGAAACATACAAGTTTGCACCATTAATACAAAGAGTTATTTATTTAAAAAATACAGATAAAACGACCCATTATACTTAAAGGGAACATGAAGGTTTGGAAATTTATGCTTCTATTCAAGGACAGGATCCTAATCCAAAAATGTTGCTCAGAATCAACTTGATTAGTAAAACCCTAGGAAATTTTCACCAATATATGATTCTTACATGGAGGAAACTTCGATCCTAGTTTGAACTCATGTATGTACAAAAAGTAAAGTGCTCAAAAGAGTACAGTAGAGATTCTAAGAGGTCGCTTAACGAGGTACTTTTCCTGCTTATTGCATTGAATATATTCCAAGGTTAATATTCCAGCTAACCTACCCTAATAAGACAAGCAGAATATAAAAATATATACAGGAAAAACATTATGCTAAATACATTCCTATGTAAAAACCACTGTCCTAAAAGCATATATTCATATAGAATTTTACGCAATGGCATAAAAAAAATAATAATAGTAACATTTTCATTTGAAAAATATAAAACATGTTTCAAGAGAAGCTTAGTTATTGCATGCCAGGGAACAAAGATTCATTGTGCACAATCTCATGTTACGTTGCAGTTTTAATCAATTCAGGAAGCTCAGCGGCTATGATAAAGCATATGGCAGCCAGAAATGCAAAGAGGTCATGAATGAGAAAACATAGCTTATGAAAATGTCACTTCCTTTCTGAAGAAGAAAAGATTATGTCTTAAAGCAAATCTACAAAGTAAATGATGCATAATAAAAATGATACGAAACAACTGACACATGGATTTTTAACACTTGAGATATGGTGTGAAATTCATCCTATCCTCACCAGGTTCAAGATCAACTTTGGGCCTCAAAGTTCAATTCATGACATGCCCAGTTAAATAATGCGAAAAGGCAGAAAAAATCATGATAATGTTCGCAAAAAATTAGTTTGCAGTTGTTATAGATGATGGAGCAAATAGGGGCTAAGGAAGGAACAAATAAAATTAAAGTGCAGTCCGATTATTCAAAACCACATTCAATTTGTATTAAGCTGCTTGCAGCAGCAGCTAGGCTAAGCAGTTGAGGAAGCTCGTAGTCTCGTACTAAATAGTAGTAAAAAAACAAAAAAAAAAAGGCCCTAAAATGTATAGACAAGGGAACACTGGAACAATCATCCAGATTGAATGAAAATTCTGAAACAATGAACTTCCAAAATCAATTATCAGTTCCAGGACACGAATTTCCATGACATATGTCACCTATCCGATGAGAGCATAGACATGATGCCCGTTATTATGATAATACTTTCCAATCTGTAAATACTCTTTAACACTTATCGCATGTCAACAAAAACATCAGGAAACAATTATGTCTATATAAGACAACAAAATATGGTACTGGTAAATATCTGTTGCAGAGGGTTTGAGAAAGAGGGAAGGGAACTTGCTGCAGACTTTGGTACGGGAATTCCAACTAATTAGCTATCTCTATAGTTCTTGGATGCAAAGTTTTTGTTACCAAAACCGAAGTCATGCTGCTGACTATAGGAAGTTGCAAGTTGACATGGCTGACTTGAGTTTTCAGAAATGTTCATGAGTACATCTCTAGTACTAAGGATGAAGCACATTTAGGAAAACCATCATCACATCGAGGATAACAAAGAAACTAGAAACTGCAAACTCAGAGACAGTTAAGCCAGGAGACGTTTCTGCTCCGAAATCTTGCTATGGCACTCTGATAGAGGTATCTTTAAGGGATCTCGATTTCTAAATTTTTGGATATCCCTAGCGTTAGGGATCGAGATCCCAAAAAGTTGGGAACAATCCCAACCTTTTGAAGATTACAATGTTTGTTTTTTACAAAAGTTAAACTGGGTAGTCCTAAAATAGTTTTATTTCGTAAGACGGTGTTTATTTCTAGTACTCAGTGGACTGTAAAATTAAACAGTATAATCTTAATTTCTTGTGCAATCCCAAAAGGTTGGGAAGGGGAGGGTGATCCCTCCTCAGGATCAAGATCCTAAGAATATGTAGTCATAATTTCCTATAACCTATTGCAATTACCTTTCATGATCCCTGCGTCCAATCCCAAAATCACTTTCGATCCCTCTCCCAATGCCACCAACTATGACCTAAGATTTTTATAACTTCTACATTCATGAACACAACTATGAAATCAATGGAAAAATGCAAGTGCTGCAAGTTTGATGTGTGCAGTGATTTTTGAAAATGGGCAGGAAAGTAATTAGTATATTTGTCAATATTTAATCCACCAATACAAAATATACACACCAACACATAAACATAGCAAAAGGGTGGCACTCTCCAGACAAAAGGCCAGAAATGGATGGAAATGCATTATAAATGTGCTTGTATGTTTACTGTTTGTATGAGCAAATATTTATGCGATCATACTAATCATACTTTTATTCTTCCATCTACACAAAATTTGTCTATCATAATTACTTACATACATGTGAGCAGCCAGACAACCAAACACACGTGCACACATACAACTGAAGGGAACTTCTATGTGCGATACTTGAAAGTTCATTTAGATCAAAAGGCACCACGTCATCAATTTGGTTATGATAAAGAAAGAAGAATTAAACATGCCAGATCAAACAATTCTGGATGCTCTTTATGGTAAAGTAATCAATCAACAAGAGATCCACAATACAATATACAGAAAATCAGCACTCACATTTTCTTTTATCTAGAGTAGCTATTATGGAATATTTTGATAATTAAACATATACCCCGGATCATATACTTATTCATCAGTTTTTAAACTATTTATATGTTAGCTTTGACAAGAACAAAGCTAACATATAAAGATCTAAATCAGTTTTAGTACTTATTAATAGGTTCCAACTTACTTCACAATTTGTTCTCATAAAAGATTGTCATCTTAAAACTGAAGCAAATGTATGGAATGCCTTTAGATGTTCTCATTAAGACTATAGGCAACCTCAATAACCATGTAAACATAATTTTAAGTTATTTTAGAGAACACTAGAGGATTAATTCTTGTTTGAATGCTTTTCTTTGACTCCCCTTATCTCATTCATGATCCAGCATGAAGAGAGGAGAGGAGGGAGAAAAAACCAGAGGTATCCATGAAAAAATGGTGAGTTTAAAGAAATCAATGACTTCACCAGCTGGACTAATGAAAAATTAGTACCTTGCCAATCATGTTGAAACTGTTAGGCAAATTCTATAAATTTTTTGCCCTGCTAGTGTAGTAAATTAGTCATCCACACAACATGGTTCCCTGAAGTACAAAGAAAGGGATCACTTCAACATGCTTTCATTTGATAAAAATGCACATGTAAATACATAATTAGCTCTTCATTCTCCTCATACAAGAGAGACCAGAAGTTACTATTGATTCATTCCCACCACAACTCCAAGTAGTAGCGTGCTCACACAAACTTCCTCTATCACTGATTAAAACTTAACAGGAAATGTTTTTTTCCAACTGAGTTTTGTTAAGTATATATTCTATATTTGAGAAAATTATTAACAAACTGAGAAATAATGATGACTTAGTACAACACTTCCATTTAGATGGGAGGCAACAGCTCTGGCATGTAGTGCAAGATTTGCTTTGAAACAGAGCTTCAACTGCGCCTTCTCATTCTTGAATCAGGCCAACAGCTCTGGCATGTAGTGCAAGATTTGCATTGAAACAGAGCTTCAACTGTGCCTTCTCATTCTTGAATCAAGAGCAACAGTTCTCAATTTTGTAAAAGAGAAGCGCATCACTAGCATGCTCATATAATCAAACTTGCTTTATTGTATTATGTAGCATGAGTGCACTTCATTTTTCACATATGCCCAAAACTGAAAGAGCAAAAATATCATATCACCTCCATTGGAGTAGATTCCTTTGGTTTTACAACAATATAGGTCAGGACTCCCATTGATGTCTTTAAATTTTTAAGTCATGCTTAATTTGAGTAGTAAGATAAATTTATATACCAATTTATCATCATGTGTTACTTGATTTCCATTTAACTATATACATCGCATGTTTCTATTACACAGTGTTTGAAAACAAAATTGGAACAAATATAGCTCCCAAGGTCTTCTCAGGAATGAACACATAACTGGCTGATAGGAAATGTCCAGGTTTCAGTGTCTAGTCCAAAAATGTCGGTTACAATTAGTGCTGTTATAAAAGTTTTCAGTTAGATTCTTTCTCCAACATGCAGGCAACTGCATCTTAGGAAGACCCAAGTTATGAAGCATAGGAGCTTAACCACATTCAATTATATCAAAATTAGCTCACTTTTGGAGGTCATCAAGTCAAATATGTCAACCTCAGCAATTTTTAGTAGTTAATCACATTTCTTGGCAATTCCTTGATTACAACTACAGACACCCATTCCTAGATTTCTCTTACGCCAAATTCCCCAATACATGTAGATTAGTAGACAAGTATTATATAATTTTTCTCACAAACCGTCATCAATCAATCAAGAACTGAAAGACTGCTAGCTTATAGAAATATAAGTAATCAGCATACAATTCAAAATACAAAGTAATCTCTAAGAAAGGACAAACAGTGAAAAATCAGTTTCTCAATATAGAGGAGCCAAATGGGTCTTGATTAAGAAACCAATGGATGGCAATACAAATTTCAAAAATTTGAATAACTATGTTATAGTTAGGAGTCCTAGAACACAAATGAAATCAGGTGTTCAGCGGAGTACAAGACTTGCCTTCTCTAGCAATGAGGCCCGCTCTTTCAGATCATCGATAGAAGAAGCATCCCTCTTATGAATCAATTGGAGGACAAACACGAGATGAGATTCAAGACACTCTCTACAGTGGTCCTCAATTTTACTCTGAGGAAAAGAAGAGCGACACCCAACCTGATAAAATGGGCAATTCACAAGCCTCATGGGGCAAACAGTTATGCAATGCTTATCCATCTCTCTCCTTAAAATACTCTCTGAACACTTTTGGTCGCATGGAAGAACTTTAAATGGACACCCCATATCATGTTTCTCTGCATAAACTGCACAGAAAGTGGAATCGCACCCTTCGTTCCCACAATTCAGCAAACGAAACCTACAATTCCCCCTATGCTCAATGAACTCATCTCGGTTTTCAAATTTGAATCCACAGTAATAATTTCCCTTCAAATCAATATTTCTTAACAAGATCTCTGCAACTGATTCTCGCCTGCTAATTAGCCAAAACCCATTTGTTTCAAGCTCTTGCATAAAGTCATCGATCTTGTCCTCACGCCTGTCGCTCAGAACCCAAGCCGAGACCCTACTGAGCAAATTTTTCTTCGAATCGACAAAATCATCCATGAAATCAGATATGGAATCAATGGGGTTTCCTGAATCGGTGCTACCTTCTTCGATCATAGACTCGGCAATGTGGGCTTCGCTCTTTTGAGTGAGAAAATCAACCATTTCCTTTCTGGTTTCAATGGCCACAGAGGAAGGGGTTCTGAAGAGATCACCCATTGTGGTGTCCACACAGGCTGAAGCTAAGCCAGGGAGGAGAAGCTGAGCTATCTTGTGGACCAATTCAGCGTCAAAATGATCGCAGAGGAAGGCGCCATGAGAATTTCTGGAGGACTTGTCTTGGAAACCGAGGTCTTGTAGTGAAAGATCCATGAATTTTTGTGGGGCATTAATGGGGGTATTTCTTCATGGCTGGTGAGAGATTAATGCATTTGCTGGAGAACCTGGTTTTTAGAGAGAGAGATTATGAATTGTTTACACTTTGATGTCTGCGATTAGCGTGAGTCTCTGGATTCTTCGAAAGGAGCGTGGCAATGAGAGAGAGAGATTGACGCGTGAATTCTTTATATTTGGTGAGTGTTTAACAAAGCGGATGGCCAGGGCGAGCCGGCTATTGGTTCAGAATATTAAAAAAAAAATTTAAAAAAAACAAATAAAAAATTAATGGGTACGGCTTGCATAAAGCGCAGCCTCTAAATCATTGAAGTAAAATAAAAAATAAAGTAACGGTGCAATAGGACCTTCTTCCGTCAATGTTTGTAATATCTCAAAAAGATCTTAATTAAATTTAACATGAATTTTTTTAAAAAGTTATCATATGAGTGTAGGACTTGATTTTTTTAGATATTCATGACTTTATTTAATAGTACTTTTTTGGGGTTCTGCGCACATACATAGAAAAAGGTTTTATAATATCATTTCTCTAAAAAATATAAATTCAATGCTGGAAATTTTTGCGATAGTCTTAAAATATATTTTCATCTTTAATTTAAAGAAAACGTTTATATAAAGATGCAACGTTATAATTTAGAACTACGGATGCACCTCAAAAATCCATCGAAAAATGTAGTTTTAAAATTGAAAAACTCTTTAATTGATCATCTCGACATCTAGATGTATGACTATGAAAATAAAAAGATTTTAAGTCTAAAAATAGGTCATTTTATAACATATTATCTACACTGTCCATTTTCAAAATTTTCATATGTTTATAGATCTACTTGATTTTAACCATTTTTTAAATTTTATAATTAGAAATAAAAAAAGATTTTGAGATAATCCGAAAAACATTTTACATGAAAATTATATACCATGATAAAATTTGAAGGTGCACCTTACCTCTACAGCTACGGATGCATCTGTATGCCAACTGCACCCTTAATTTAAAGCTTTAAAAATAGTGTAGATGGAGAAGATTGATGAAAACTTAAAATTCTTGAAAATCAACGGTTCAAAAATGTGTTACAAGATGCACTATTTTCAATACTTGAAATACTATTTTTTCTCATGTCCATGCATCTTGATGATCAATTTGAGGATATTTGAACATCAAAACAACCTCTTCTAGTGAAATTTTTGAGATGAGCTCTGATTCGATTGTGTAGAGCCTCGGCTCTATATAAACTACTTCCGAAATGATACATCTAGGAACTAGGCGTATCAGGTTTTGTCCGAATTTGGCGTATTTGGATCACCTGGTTTGAGTCCACAAGAAACAAGGCACTTTGTACTTGTAGACTGGCATATCCGGTCCGCACCACCGCTAAAGAAAAATATGCTTTTTGGATTAAAAGGGGAGCTCGGCTTTATTTGATTTTTTTTCAACAAGCTTCCAAGATTTAAAATATTTTATATATGGTTCCAATTTTAAAAATGTAGATTGTTTTAATGTTGAAAATTTCTCTAATTGATCAATGTCGAGATGTATGAATATGGGAAAAAAAAAAAATTTGACTTCTAGAAATAGTGTATCTTGCAACACATTATCTAAACCGTCCATTTTCAAGATTTTCATATGTTTATAGATCTACTTGATTCTAACCATCTTTTGAGATCAAATTTTTATAATTAGAGATGAAAATCAATTCTCAGATAATCCAAATAATTTTTTATGCCAAAATTACATATTGATTAAATTTGGAGGAGCTTCTTAATTGGATTGTTTAAAGTTGCAACCTTATACAAACCATACCCTTAAACGAATTGACCTCCAAAATCTAAATTGATATGTTTGTCACTAGTGCTGACCAATTTCGGCCTGGCCCAACCTAGCCCCTAACAGGGTTAGTGCAAGGCTTGAGCTTGCACTATGGGGACAAGGGTCGAGCCAAACCTAGGTAGTTGCCACCATTGACCACTGAGCCAAAGCATAAGAGATTTAAGAAAAATGTTCTCCATATTTTATATTTTATACTTATATTTTTTGAGAAATTCACGGTAGTCCCATTGAGAATTTGAATATTACGTCAATACCCAACTTTTTTTCATTTATTATTTTTACCCCAAAATACCCTAACTTCAAAACTTGTAACTTTGAAGTTTTTTTTACCCCTTTTCTAAAACAGTTACATCATTTCTTTCTTCACTCTTTGAAAGCATCCACAAGGAGAAATTCATATTTTGAAAATCCTTGGTACTCTTTAGGGTCTATTGGAATACAAGAAGCATGTGTGCTAGCTGCATCTAAAGGGAACTTCGGATTTTGAAAATCCAAAGTACTTTCGGAAAATAAAGCATACGCATGTGTGTTGTTGCATCCACATTGAACTTTAGATTTTGAAAATCTTAGAAAAACTTTTTCAAGAAAAAAAAGGGTAAAAAAACTTTGGAGTTTCAAGTTCTAAAGTTAGGATATTTTGGTTGCTTCAATGAACAACATTCAACGTGTAGATAACTTTTTCTCTTCGGTAACACCCATCCAGGATCTATGTGATATAGTATCTCTCAATTGTTTCACAGAAAGAAAGACAGTATGGCTTAAATCAAACAAAGAGGAGATAAAGGTATGTGATTGATAGTTATCTATCTTGATGGTACTATTCCTACATCAAGATAGATACCCCCAATGGGGTAACTTTGTATCTCTTGTGATACCCCCAATGGGGTAACTTTGTATCTGTTGTGATTGATAGTTATGTGTTATGAAACATAACAAAACAATAGGTCTTACTATTCTTACATGAGTAACCTACTCATTGATACCCCCAGTGGGGTAACTTTGTATCTCTTGTATATGCTTAATGCTTCCCGAATGCACTTTCAATTAGGAATTTTTTCCAAGTGGATTCATTGGATCCGTTTGTAAGTAGTGTTGAGTCAAAATCTCATTTTGACTCTGCACCATCAATTCCACTATTATTAGTTATCAATAATAGAATAATTCCTTAGCATTCATACAAAGATCCAACTGATCCCCGCATAAGTATTGTAAATATGTAGTTACAAATAATCCTGCCAAAGTAATAGGAATTAGACCTAACACGATTCCAAATAGAAAAACGTCAATCATTTCAAGTTGTTTGAAATGGGAGAAAGAGAGAAGTATTATCTACCCCTAAATATTACTTCGAATTGCCCATGAATCTCAATGACCAAGAATCGGCAATTGACACTGGAAGCAACTATAGAATACCTGGAATCTTACAAAAATTTGAATTTATAGAAATTTTACATTCAATTAATTTCAAATAAGTCGTATCTTATTGAGGCCAATAAATAAAGATGAGATTATAGTTGAAGCAGCTAGTAAAAAACCGGAATAACTAATTATAGTAGACATGAAGGAGCTGAATGAGAAATGTTCTTTATTATACATTATCGTTATAC